CTGAAGGATTGAAGCAGACTGCCTCAATGTCCTCTGCAGGAGTGGCTGGTAGGTTTGAATCGCGTACCTTCTGGTTAGCAGCCGAGCACTTCACCCCTGTGCCACCAGGGCTGCTCGCAAGTAAAACCGACATAAAGCACTTAGGTTAAGAACGGAATGGAAGCATGAGAAAAATCCTGTCCCTCCTCTACCAACAGTGAACAAAACCCCTGCTCTGAAGGAGTTGGGGCGTGGGGAGTCATTGGAAAGGACACAGGGCTGGCCTCCTCATAAAAAGAACCCTCGGGTGAATTTTGGAGTCTTGTTTCTGAAGGTCATTTTTGCCAAGTTGCATCGTCCCGATCATGGACAAGAAGCAACGCCAGCTCAGGCTAACCATAAACAGCCCTGTGATTTAAGAAAAAAATTCATTTTAAAAAAGGCTAAACTTTTACAAATCTAAATAATGAATATTAAGGGGTGGTAAAAACCCTTTAACATTCTATGACATTTATGTTGCTTTAGTAGTAATAGCTCCCTTTTTGTGTCAACTGCTCATCACCGCCACGTTCCAGAGACATTCTGCTTCTCCCTTATTGCTCCATTTAAATTCCCACAGCAGCCTTGAGGTAGGTTATTATCATCCCCGCTTTACTGACGAGGAAGTGGAAGGACAGCATACCTCAGAGATACTGTCGTTTGGGTTCCAGGCCATCAAATAAAGCGAGTCTATGACTTTTTTGGTTGCCAGCACATGTAAGTCAGATGCACACGTCACCGCAGTCTATTAGGTTGAGCCCTGGTGGTGTGTACAGTGGTTATGCATTGGGCTGCTAATCCCAAGGTCAATAGTTGGAACCCACCCCGCTCTGCAGTAAAAAGATGGAGCTTTCTCCTCCCGTTAATGACAGCCTCGGACACCCATGGGGCAGCTCGACTCTGTCCTGCTAGGTGGGTGTCTACGAGTCAGAATGGACTACACACATGGCAGTGGCGTGAACTGAGTGAGCAGTCTATTGGTGTGCAAACATCCTGTGCAGAGGTTGAAATGCGGAGAGAATTCCCACAGTGTCACACAGGCAGGCTGTTAGAAAATGGCACCAACAGACTTGTTCGAAACAGGGTTGCCACAAATCTTCCCCTTGTAGCAAATGGAGAATCTGGGAATGCCTGAGAGGCCACACTTCAAGTCAACAGCTTCTATCTACACTGAAGATGGCACAAGAGTTCTAAAACCAGTTTCTAAAAGACGAAGCTGTGATAGGAAAAGGTTTAGAACGTAAGAGGAAAATAAAACATCATTCTAAAAATAAAAAGTTGCATAAGCAAAAGCACTGTCTTTAGGCTAATGCTAGAATAAGCCTTTTATTAATTTTCTCAAGGCACTGCAAATATTTTGAAACACATTTTGCAACAGTTCCTGTGTCAGGCTCTGGGATACAGAACCCAGCAAGACACGTCCCGCCAGCCTTGTTCGCCCCACCTCTTCACCTGCAGCTGCCTCTGAGCACGTGTGCTATTACTTCAATTAATATGTCATTGTATTTTTAATACAGAAAGTCTCTTTGCCTGTCTTAGAATTTAGTTTTTCGCCTTTTTATAAATGCCAACCCCTCTTCTCTCTTGACAAAGAGAATGCTGAGAACGGCCGAGGCAGGGCAAGTCTGAGCGTCCAGGCCACACCGAGGCAGGGCAAGTCTGAGAGTCCAGGCCACACCGAGGCAGGGCAAGTCTGAGAGTCCAGGCCACACCGAGGCGGGGCAAGTCTGAGAGTCCAGGCCACACTGAGGCAGACCTGTGCGCATCCAAGAGCAGATAGCGGGTCGAAGAGCAGTGAGTCTGGAATGCAGGTCTGGCTTAGAAAACTGGAAATCACAAAGATCTGAGAGGCCATTCACGGGCGCAGGGAAGAGGTGATCTATGGAAGGCATGTCTCCTCGGAAGAGGAGTCAGCCCACACAGAACCCGGGAACCCCTAGAGTGAGGGGCACAGAGAGAAAGGGAAGCTCCCAAAGACAAAACAAAGTCAAAGGGACAAGGAAATATGTACTGGAAGCCTGAGGAGCAGAACCTCAAGGAAGGAGCCATTAGTGTGGCCGGAACAGCCGAAAGGTCCAGCAGCTTCCGAGTGTGTGCACGGAACTCAGCAGGACAATGTGCCGGCTTTAGACCAAAGGGACGGAAGTCAGTATTAAGATAGAGACGGGAATGAGCACAGTGGAAAGATCATAAACTGTCCAGAAATCTGGTGAAAGGAATGAAGAATTATATAATAGAATTCTATTATATAATAATGTGGTGTCAAAGATGTGGCTTAAAATTAACTTTGATGATTTCGGGCTCTGAGCATTTGTGGGCTCTGAAAGGCAGAGGTGTATGAGAAGGGAAAGGCAGTTGGCCATGGCTAACGAGGCAGGGCAGAAACTCATGCATGGCTCAAGCACCTCGGCGAAAGGAGGCAGAATTTCACTGCAAGTATCTGCTTTGTGTGCCAGGCACTGTACTAGCTAGTGGGCTCTGGGGGCGCAAAGACAAACAGCACAGAACGTGCCCTCGGCGCGCTCGCAGTCTGATGGAGAGCAACTTGTCAACCACCCCACACACGAGTCTGCAGAGTGCAGCTCATCAGACGCTCTCTGAGGGAATGCCTGGAACCCAAGTCTACCTGTGTTCACCTCTCTAATCCCACCGACCAACACAGGCTGTGGCCATCCACCTGCTAGGCACCCAGTAACTATTTCTGATACATATTCTATGACATAGGGAATTTGTTATTAAAAATACACGGAAATATCAACTACAGTTAATGGTCAGAAAACCAATGCTTTGTATCCAAGAACCGTAGGGGAGAGAGGAGGAAGGCGTGCCCTGGAGGGCTTCTTCCTGTCCCCACAGAGAGAGGGTCTGGAGCGAGTCCAGACACTCTGAGACCAAAAATGGGACATAAACGGCTTGCACTCAACTACTAAGCGAGAGGTTGGCAGGCCTGGCATCCTGTTTCTGGAAAGGTAATAGCTGCCGAAAACCCGATGGGCAGTGCTAACTCTGAAGCACACAGGGCTGCTAGGAGCTGTGCCAACAGGTTTGGGGTTTGTTTTTATCTGCTAGCGTATCCAAAACATTTTTCATTTACTCATTTAAGGAGGGATAAATGGTTTCATTTCAAAGATGGAAGTAAAGGATTAACGAGGAAGTACACGTAATACATCAACCAGACTCATTCATAAAAGGCAGCTGGGCTGACTCTGGAGTCAGACTGGCCCGCCTCCACTAGCCTCTGTGAAAGGAGACCGCTTGACCTAACTGTCCAGAGATCAATCACACAGTCCTCTGAGAATCTAATGAAAGCTATGAATTACACTTCTACCTCGAAATAAACATGGAAGCATGCATACAAAATTCTGCAAATTTCAGGGGAAGAAATTTAATGTCAGGGTAGACACTTTAGTGAAGAAATAGCAGAGATGCACATCTTTGTTATGAAGATGCTTTGTCTTCCTTAAAAGCAATGGGCCCAAATATCACTGTGACCTATAACAAGAGCCCCAGCCAGATAGCATGCTGTGCCCCCACTCTTGTGCCTATTACGGGTTGAATGACGACCCCACCCCCAAACCTATGTTATAAATCCTAACATCTATGCCAGTGGCGGCAATCATTCCATTTGGAAATGGGTTGTCTGTTTTGTTAATGAGGTAGCATTAGCGTAGTGTGTCTTGAGTTTTGCTCTCTCTGTTCACTTTCTACTGTGAATTAGGTGGCGGTTCACAATTCAGATGATTATATTTGTATTCAACAATTTAAGCAACTTATCAAGCCTCCCCAGAGTGTGTGCAGAGGCATGCAGATATTGAACAAGGGACGAAGCAGAAGCAGGGAAAGAATGATGCTAAAGGACAGATATGCCGGCCACCAAGCCAGGCAGCAAGTGGAGAGAGAACTGCCTCACCCGCAGGGCCCAACAGGAGAAAGCCTCCCCTCCCGCAGGTACGCAGAGGTGGGACTTCTAGCCTCCTAACCTGTGAGGCTTTTGTTGGTGAAAGTCACCACTTGTGGAATGTTGGCAACAGCAGCACTATAAATAAGACAGCAACCTCATCTTCAATTTTCCGGTGCAGAGGGCACCACAGATTAAGTACCTAGTTACATTGCTGATCCGGGCCATAAAGTTTTGATTACAGCACTCCCTTTTGATTAGACACGTTGCACTCCCTTTTGATTAGTCCCCTTGACTATCCTGAAGCAGCTCTGAATGAGTGTGAAGTTCAAGTCTCCCCTGTGAGAAACAAGCCTAGAGCACACAGCGACCACGACATGCCTGATCCACAGGGGACAGCAATTCTTTTCTAACGGGCTTCTTATTAATGTCGTTAATTAGACGGGTCAAGATCTGCTCCCAAAGGTCACAGCCTTGGACACCCTATGGAGCAGTTCTACTTTGCATACATGGGGAGTCAACGTGGCAGCAACTGAGAACAACGGACTAGAAGGACGCCCCCATTGTCAGTTCCACAGCAAAGTGTGCGGACTCTCCCACCAAAAAGAAACGCGGGATCCGCTGAGGAAGAATTGCTTCCATCTGCAGAGCTCTAAGAGGAACCCTGGTGGTGTAGTGGTTACACGTTGGGCTGCAATCCGTATGGTCGGCAGTTCGAAATCACCAGCAACTCCTCGGGAGAAAGACTAGACTTTCTAGTCCCATCTACAGTTACTGACTCGGAAGCCCCCAGGGGGTGGCTATGAGGCACATGTTCTCCCAGAACCTAGCACAGCACCCCCAAATCACAGTGTGATAAATACTCTGGGGCTTCTACACGACCCTTGTAACTGGAAGGGCTAACATCTATGTGGTGGCCATGACGTTGGAAGCCAAAAGCCATTCCAGTCGGAGCAATTTTACATTGTAATGATTGCAGGGTTTTGTTTTCTCAATGTCCCCAGGAAGCAAGCCCATCATCCATGACTGAAAATCAATAGCAGAATCCCCTGTGCATAGCAGGGGGCAGAAATGCCGTACTTACCTACTGCACAGTGCAAAATCTGAAGGAAAAAGCAGAGAAGGAAGCATTAGTTAGTAGGCTCAGCAGTGCTTGTCAGCATTCCATTTGAAAAACATTCCATTTTAAAAACAGGTTACAGGCTAGTTCACAAAATATAAATTCTTAAAGTAAAAAAAATTATTTTGCTGTTTGTGGGTTGTTTAAAACAAACAAAAAATCAGTTTGCTTGTCTATGGAAGATTTCCTAAGGATTAAATCTCATCAGGTGAGTTTATCAGACATGAAGGATCTCTTTTTTTAATAAACTTCCATGTAGACATTCATTCTGCAAAACTCCTCCATTGGTCCCCAGTTGACCTCATTCTATGATCTCACTGAGCAGTGTTCTCTGTTCTCATCTCCAGCCTCGATGGGTCTTTTTGAAGCACTAGGTCCAGATTCCCACCTGCCTTTGGGCAGCTGAGTCTAACTATACCAGCAGCAGATCAAACATGGCATACCTCAGTGGGACACAACCCTACCCCTCTCTTCCACAGACCTACGGTGCCGCCTAAGCCCCAAACTCTCAGTCTCTTGGATTCTTCCATCCTCCTCATTCCTAAATCCAACTGTTTTCTAAGCCCAGCCAAAGCTTTAACACAGTGGTTCGCAACCTTCCTAATGCCGCGACCCTTTAATACAGTTCCTCATGTTGTGGTGACCCCCAACCATAAAATTATTTTTGCTGCTACTGCAGAACTGTAATTTTGCTACTGTTATGAATCATAATGTACATATCTGATATGCAGGATGTATTAGGCGACCCTTGTGAAAGGGTCGGTCGACCCCCAAAAGGGGTCGAGACCCACAGGTTGAGAACCACTGTACGTCTGTCTTCCCCATTCTTATCTCCAGAGCCTTAGGTGAGGCTGCCAATGTTCTCTACTTGCAGATCAAGAAACAAAGGCCCAAAGAGGCAACACAACTTTCTAAGTGACGAACAGGATAAAGAGCCTGGTTATCGTTTTATTTCTTGTTCTTTGCTTTTCCCATCATGTTATTTTAACGTACATTATCTTCCAGATACGTACAGAGGTCAGACTTGACAAGACTCAGTTTATGTAAACCATACCTAGTAAGATTCTGTGCTTGGAAATTATTATACTATTTGGGGAGGAGGGTGGTGCTTTGGATGAAAAAACTAAGCTGCATAAATTTATTGATAATGGCAAAGAGAACAAAAGAATTGCCATACTACAAATCTTAGCATTTTCTTCAAAGGAAAAGTCAGCTAGCCTCTCAAATATGTGACTTTGCAAAGATTAAGCTGAGCCTCTTGCAGCAAAGTGGAGAGAAACCCCAGATTGTATATCTAGAATAAAATGAGGAATGAAAGACGTGAATGAAGACGTGAATGGCCTTTGAGATAAAGCAGATGAAAATGCCTGCGTGGAAAACCAATTCCATTCCTGTTTCCAGACAGCCAGGCTGCTGCAGCCACAGGCCACAGGAGGGAGGGAAGCATAGCCTAAGGGCGAACACGGGGGTTTTGTGTGATAGAACATAAGTCCTCAATCCTTTCAAATCAACCCCCTCTTCTGACACATACTTGATGATGTCTCCTTAACCATCCTGGAATAAAACTTGTAGATGTTATAACCTGTCTACACAAAACTTAAATAATATAATAAACATAATGTCCTAACTGATATTTGAGGAGCCCTGGTTGTGTGGTGGGTTACGAGGTCGGCTGCTAACCACGAAGTTAGTGGTTCAAATCCACTAGCTGCTGTTGCACCGGAGAAAGAGGCGGCTTCCAGTTCACATCAAGATTGACAGCCTCAGACAGCCAAGGCAGTGGTAGGGAGTTTGGTGTGGAATAACTAATACTTGGAGAAGAAATAGTAAGTATTTAAACAAACCAAACACATTTGCTTTGACATTCAGATGCTCGGGGACACAGTGATAGCAGGAAGCAGTCAGGTGCAGAAAAGTAAAGAAGTCCACAGAGATACAGAGCAGCACTCGAATGAAAAATAACATCGAGGCCAAGGGCGGCCGCTGAAGCCGGAGTGAGAAGCCAAGCAAAATGACAGTCACCACTGAGAAACTGAGGAAGTTGTGTAGTATTGCAAATGAGCTAGACCTGATGGTTTATAAATGTGGGCTCAAAAGAACCCCCTAGGTGATGTCACACTGCAGGGCAGGAAGCAAAGCTCAGAGAAAAACTATGGTCTGCATCTGAGAGCCCACCGAGGCTCTCAAATCATTCTTTAGGGTGTAAAAAGTTCTTGGAAATAGAAGAAAGACTAGACAAAAACAAACAAACAAAAACACCCAGAAATGCAAGAGTCAGTAAATTGTGTAAAAGGGTCAAAGTGAAAAAAAAAAAAGCTGTCTGAAAATAAACTGCAGTCTTACAACCTGGATTTCCTTCATTGTTACACATAAGCAGTATGAAGTATTAAAGCAGCACATGCAAGCGGTCCAACGAGATGCAGCCAGTTCACGTGTCTCCACTAATTTAATCATTGAAGGCTGAACAGAAAGTGGAATCTGCTGCATATGCCATTCGGTTTCACTGCTTTTGCAGTAACAACACGGCAAGACTTTTCAACTAAATGCTAGCAACTAGCAAGCTGGAAATGCTAGAATATTTGAATAGAACAGAGTGTGCTGAGCGAATAAATTACTCAATTATTTTGAGACCAAATCATTATTTCATTAAGCCTTCCCTCTTCATGTCGGCTGAGGATGGCAGGCTGCTCCAGGGCCTCGTCCCTGGTGATTTCCTCAGGCACTAACCTGGGTACTGTTGGGTGGGGATTTTGCAGAGCAAGCTAAAGTCCCCAATCAACTGATTGTCAGGTGCAGAAATTATACAGGTGGACTTGACCCAACTAAGAAAACCATTTTAAAGGAACTCTTCCCTCCCTCTGTTGGCTAAAATTAGGTCACAGAGGTATTGTTGCCTTTGAAGCAAGAGGAGCCACTTGCAAGGAGGGGCAAGCAGCCTCTAGGAGCCAGATGACAGGGATCTCAGATTTACAACCAAGGAAGTTGATTCTGCCAGTAACCTGAACTTGGAAGGGGATTCTTCCCCAGAGCTCGGCCCAGTGGACAAGTGGATCTTGGACTTGCGAGACCCTGGGCAGAGAAACAGCCAAGCCCAGCTACTGATCTACAAAACTACGAGTGGTGTTTTAAGCTGCTAAATTGGTGGTGGCCAATTTTATTAGGCCAAAATCCAAAACGAATGCACCGAATGCCTTCTAACTTCATAGCCATTTCATTGAGCTTCTTGTTTAGGTTTCCCAGCATCAATCACTATTACAGAACCACGGATTTACATCTATATCCATTCAGTTGCACAACAAACCAGAAGAGGGCAGAGGAATCCAGAGGCTCCCCAGACTTGCACACAACTCACAGGGTGGGTTTGCTGGAATCACAGACTTCAGTTCCAGTGACGTAGCATAGCTCACACTTGGTGTGTAGTGGGGTCTTAAAAGCTTGCAAGGTCTCTGGAGCACAAGAGCATGAAGGAATCAAAGGCTCAAAGAAGAGACTCGTCCACTGGCGTCACAGTCCCCATGAACAAACAATAAATCTTTTCTACTAGCTTGAGACCAGAAGAAATGGATGGATGGTTCAGGCTACTGCTACCTTCTGTTCGGGGGACACAGGAGAGGATCCCAGACAGAATGCAGGAAAAGAACACAACTCAAATTCCTAAAAAGAAGCTCTGGACTAAGAAGAGACTAGAGCAACTCCCGAGACGACCACTGGAGATATTGTTGAACTTTGGGCCGGAGGCTCTTCCTGCAGGTCACCTTTCAGCCAAACGATAAAGTGGCATATAAAATAGATGCTAGTACCTGCGAATCATGCACTTCCTTAAACAAGGAACTCTATGAGATCAAACGGTCAACATTCACTCAAAAGCAAAGATGAGAAGGCAAGGGGGGTAAGGGAAGTAGGAAACAGAATGGATGTGGTGATAGTGCTGATACACTGTGGAGATTATGTAGACACGTGACATAATTTGTGTGGCAATTGTTAAGGTGTACACTTTGTGGTTAGCAAACTTTCACTGAGGACATAATAGATACACACACATATTTTAATAATTAAAAAAAACGTAAAAAAACAAACAAAAACCTACTGATTTATATTTGTAGAGGAATTAGCCTGGGGATGCTATATAAAGTCCTAAGAAGTGCAGGACCAGTCTTCATGGTGCGGGCCTGTTTCTCCACTGCAGGACCCCCACTCGTTCCTCATTCCCCAGAGGC